TATATGATTTGGTTGGAGCTTTAGAAAATCTATTAGTTTGGACAGAGATATAGGAAAAGGAGTTAAGATATACTCCGTTTCAAAATAGAAGTTGTTTTAAAGGTTTTTTATGCTTTAAAATATAAGTTGTTTTGATATTCCTATGTACTTTTTTAACTTTATTGGCTATTGTGTGACTAATATTATTTTGCAGTCGTTTTTTTCATTAGTTAAATTATTTTTATTATATATATAAAATGATACTTTTTAGAAGAAAAATAGTTTTTTAATATTCGCACTTTTAGCCAAAACAACTTATATTTTGAAACAGAGAGAATATTAAAATGGACAGAAATATGTATTTTTTTTTCAAAAATAAAAAAAATAACACAAATATAGAAAATTCCTATGATTTCAATTATCTTTTTGATAAAATAACTTTAATTATCTTGACATAGAGAAAAATGATATTGTCTAATAAATAAATGCCACTTTTGAAATACATGTTTACAAAAATATCATTAATTATGAATTTTCCATTTTTAAAAATGCCACAAACTAAAAAAATTTCAAGTCTTAAAGCCTAAAGTTTTTAACTTTTAAAAACGTTTTTGACCCAATTATAAAACTCTAACATAGTACAAAAATTACAAAAAATACCCTAAACATTAATAAATTTTTTGAAAAAACCCCTATATTTTTAAAAAGTGCAATAAAACCCTGTAAAAAATCGGAAAAATTAGTTGAACATGGTGCAAATGCACCACTTGCACCATGTTAGAACCGGCCCTGAACATAACATAGGTAACCCATACATAAATTATATTTTGAGTATGATACTATAAGATTAGTGGCATTTCTGAAAATATTTCAAAAAATATGGTTTAAAAAAAAAATAACATCTCAAAAGTGGTCTTTCTCAAAAATTTGTTATACAAATGACTCAACTTAATTAATTATGGTTCCACATATGTACTTGATTTCAACAAGGTCACAATATCTCTTGTCTCTCCTTGTAAATGTTACTCAATGCCTCTGTTTATAAGAATATATTCAATGGTCATTCTCAAAAAGGTTAGGAAATAACTACCCTAAATAACTTTTTCTTTTTTTGAAAAATACCCTAAATAACTATGTTATCAATATTATTCTCTAATTAGCAAAAAAAAAAAAGTTAGTTGAGTCGCTTTTACAATGTATTTTTTAGTCTGCCATTCGAAACATGACACAGAAAGGGAATGTCCAAAAATTGTGATGCTTACCATTTATTTTTAACACTTTTTTCCCTCTATATTTTTGGGGAGCTTTACTAAAACAATTTTAGAAAGTTGATTTTTGACCAAAATAATGCTATTCTTTGAAAATTACTCTAACAACTTTGAAAAACTATTAATACCCGTTTTAACCTTATTTTCTTTGAAGAGAAAAAAAATATATTTACGAAACTGCCATTAATGAGGCAGCGAATAAGTCTACCGTTCATGTGATGGTAGATTGATTTGCAATTGTTAGATTTATTAAGTGGTTGGTAGACTTATTGAGGTTCGCGCAATGGTAGACTTATTTATAGTAGTGGTAAATTTATAATCTGTGGTAGACTTATTTCTCGTAGTGGTAGAGTTAATTTTGTGATCGGTAGAGTTATTTCTAGTGGTGGTAGAGTTAATTTTGTGATCGGTAGATTTATTGATGGTTCGCACACTCGTAGATTTATTTATAGTAGTGGTAGATTTATTTTGAGTGATAAACTTATTAGTAGTAGTGGTAGAGTTAATTTTGTGATCGGTAGATTTATTGATGGTTCGCGCAGTCGTAGATTTATTTATAGTAGTGGTAGATTTATTTTTGAGTGAAGACTTATTAGTAGTAGTGGTAGAGTTAATTTTGTGATCGATAGACTTATTGATGGTTCGCGCAATGGTAGATTTATTTATAGTAGTGGTAGATTTATAAAATATGGTAGACTTATTTGTAGTAGTGGTAGATTTAATTTTGTGATC